TTAAAATTATGTATAATTATATGTCAAATAAATTTATATACACATATATATATATATTGATAAGACTTCTTTTGTAACATTTCTTAAATGAGTATATTAATTATGTTTATAAATAATTATTAAATCCAATAAATTATGATATTCAATAAATTATCTTTTGCCGCAATAATAGTTAATAGCCATTGAAAAAGAATTTAACTTTATTATTAGACAATGGAAGAAGAAAGATATTGTATCATTTGATTAAATTTGACAAATATGATACGAGAAATACCGATAATATTGAAAAAAAATGGTATAAAAACATAAATATGATATTTATTTTAATAAGGAAAAAGAATGTTATTAATTATTTTCACAATAAAAACTATAAATAAAATAGCTTTATATCTTAGATAAATAATAATTAAATGTTTTTATTTTCACGACTAAACCTTTAAGCTCTTCTTAAAAATAGTAATCTTTCATAAAACATATATAATAATAAAAAAATAATAATTCTTAAAAAAGTATAATAACATTGATGCAAATTTTTAAGGGGGAAGGCCCCCACTCACACAAGTTGGTCCATTCGGGTTTGTGGCGATAAATAATAATTATAATAGTATAAGCACTCTAAAAAAACAAATAGGTTATATTTGCAGAGGGATAAGTGATTTCTTCTTTTTATCAAGGAATCCGGCGAGATGAAAAAAAATTATATATATAACCTTATATTAAAAAGGAAATTAAAGATAATCGAAAGAAAAAGTTTTATACAATTGCCTTGAAAATATATTCTTCTTTGGTGGTGGAGTGTCCAAAGTGCCTTTTCACAAAATAAATAACACGGGAGCCCACAATAAACTTATTTTTACACTTCTTTTTCTTTTTCTTTTTTTTTTTTTGTGTGTGAAAAGTAATGCTAACTTTAAAGGTTACTGCTTATAAAACTGCTCAACAAGCACTTTTTTTTCTTCCTATATCATTGTGCGAAAAGTAATGGCAAATTAATTCCATTTATATATAAAAAAATATATAATAAAAAAAAACCTGTTTTTCTTCATTATTGTGATTGGATGAACCTCTGTTTATAAGTATGACTAACCATATTTATACATAACAAAAATGGGAAATTAATCCCATTTGATGTGGTTTCTATAAGTATTACTTATTAAATGTGGTTTTTGAGGAAGATGATGAGGAATTTGGAATAGAGGCAATAACAAAAGAAAGGAATATGCACAGGGAACCACAAGCCATTGTGTTAAATAATTAAGATATTGATCTGTATCGTCAGAGTCTGTCAAAATATAATGGTATAATTAATGACAGAAACAACAGTTGTATATAGTAGGTATAATTGGGGAGGAAGGTATATGGGGAAAATTAGATTAATATGATTTACGTTTCTTAAGATTAAGGTAGGAATTAGTCTACTTGTTTACTCTTATTTATATATGGGCATTTAAGCCTAGTTACAAATCATGACATATGTGTATTTTACTAGTTATTGTATTGATAAATTTTAGAATCTTGTTAGATCTAAGATAGAAAAGGAAGATGTTGATGTTGAGAGTAAAAATATAAACTATACAGATGAAAGTGGAATAAATAGTAAATTTTTTGATAAAGGACTTTAATTTAGAGTTAGAGTTTAAGTATTATCTTAAATTATCATTAAGAGAATCACGATTCTCATAGGATAGATTATTTATTTGCGTGTGATATGATTGAAATTTATTTGTTTTGGTATTTTTTTTGGTTTAAACTTGAATGAAGGGCACTTAAAAGGGAAAAAAAATAGTTTTTTTATTTAATGGTATATTTGATTTGCTAAAATTTATGGTATTAGATATGAAAAAAATAATTATTTTGTATTTGATTTAGAAAAAAGTCATTGGATACGATAAAAAAAGATAAAGAATAATAGAAGAAAAAAAATATATTTTATTGTCATTCACCGCTATATTCTTATTATTATTGTTAGTTAGGTTTATGGTTTATGATTTAGAGTTTTATTTAAGATAATAACAATTTATTATTATTAAAGGTATCAAATTGAACTTCAACTTGGTGAATCAACTTAACTCATCTATCATGAGTCTATGTCAGGTCATGTTATAAAATAAAAATTTGTATCATTTTTTGTTAAATTTCAACTTGATTTACTTAACTCGTGAGCCACTCAAGTGAGTCGGATTAACTCACTTACATCCCTATTTATGATGATCAATATTAAAAAGATATTGTAATGAATTTAATATTATTTTATTTATGTTGTCCATCATTTATCAAATAATGTACAAAATAAAAAGTTGTCTAGTGACTTTAGCATGTATCCTATGTTATTTTTCTTGCTCTATATCTTAATGTGTATCAAACTCACCTTAAGAGAAACAAAATTTTGGAGTAGTAATAATTTATTAGATTATTTAATTTTTTAATATTATTTTTAGGATATTTTATGACTTATTCCGTAGTCAATATATGATAGGGAAAAACTATCTTTAATGTTATAATTAGTTATTTGGTGCACCAAAAAAATATGCCACTTTTCGTATGCCCTATTCTGTATTATTCTATCATATCCTATTGATAAAATATATTTCTTATCCTAAGAAAAACTATAGATGAATTTTAAATATTAAAATGAAATTTATCTTATATATACCTCATTAATTAGCTATATTTTTGTTATTCTTATACATTGAGATTGAGTCTAATTTTAGACTAATTGTTATATTATTTTAATAATTTCACCTAAATTCGAGGTGTGTGTGCAAGATATAAATGCTAAAAAAACTCATTAAAAAAACCCAAAATTAAGTCATCCAAAAAGAACATTTAAGACAAAAGCTCGAATGTGCTAACTAAAGCATAATTGTGCTAGATGATAAAGAGGTCTAAATCAGACATGCAAGATGACACGATTGTACTCAAATCTCAAAGCTATGTATCATAAAAAAAAAAAGAATGATCATGCTTAAACAAGCATAATATATTGTGTTCTAAAATTAGATTTTCGCACTGAATTGATAAGCATTTTGTGCTTAATACAAGAATGGTCCTGGTCAATATCAATCCACATCCAATACTTGTAGAAAAAAGGGTTGTCACATTACCTATCATCGAGTTTTGACATTTTTTTTCTTCTTTTTAGTTCAAGACTCCTTTTTTAACTTTGAATGACCTTTTTGGCTCAAACTTCAAATATTAACATCTTGGATCATGAGTATAACACCTCGTTGACCCATTGTAAAGCATTTTATACACTTTAAAGTTTTTATTGTTATTATTATATATTTTCTAATGTAAGCGATTTCCTCTTTTAAGATGAGATACCAATTTATTAGTCTAAGATTGTGATAATCATGTATTATTGAGATGAAATTTTGACTTAATTATTGATTGTTGTTTTATTTATTTATTTATTAATTGAACTATCATTCTACACTTATTTTTAATTGAGGTATGATGAATTTTTTTTTTTATCTTAATTAGTTAGTGATCATAATACAATTAACTATTAGACCTAAAAGACATTTGAAGTTAATGAATGTTGAATGACCAAACAACTAAATTATTCTTTTAACCCTTTAAATTTCACAAAACTTGTTCTTTTTTCCTAAAATAAATCTCTATGTGATCAATTAGGGGCTGTTTTAGGGAAAAAAGTTTTTATGCATGACTAAACTTTGAAAACACTAAGGATGAATTTGTGATTTTTAACTAAAATTTCAATTAATAATTGAATTTGAGAAAAAGTGATTAAATACATAGATGAATTATAATTACTGCTTATTTTAAATCTCTTTTTGCATTGCCAAAAACCAAATGCTTATTTTAATTCTCTTGTTTTTTTTCATTCCTAAAATCCAAATAATTATTCTGTTTTGACTACGACGTAAGAAAGTTACTACAACTGATTATTTGGGTTCGATATCCTGACTCAGTCCTTCATTTGGTTGCATTTATGATGAAATTTTATTTTTACCAGTGAGAAAGAGGCACAAAGTGCCTGTTAATATTTTAAATTAAAAATAAATAAATAAAAAATGCTTGAGTGAGTGGCTGTGGCCTTCTGAGTGATTGTTCATAGAGCCTGAAAAGTTTTAATGTGAAAAAAAAATTTAATTTTAATTTTTTTTTTAATTTTTTTATTAACAATTAAAGAGTATAATAATATGTTAACCTATATTTTTGTTTCCTCAATTTTTATTAATTCATAATTTTGATTCTTATATTTTAAAATAGAAATATTTAATCTCTATAATTTTAAAAATAAGAAATTTTAATCATTTCATCAAATTAATATTAATCATACTTAAATAATGTATCGTTCACTAACATGTTACCAAAAAAAAATAATCTCCTTATATATAATATAGATTTAAAAAATATATTTAAATATTATATAATGACACAAATTTCAAAAAGTAAAAAACAAAAAATTTGTCCAAAAGTTAAAAAGCAATTTAAAAAGTTATATCATATTTGAAAAAATAAAAAATAAAAACACTCCTTAAAGCTCAATTAAACAAATATTTCGTACTACACTGATATATACAAAAATACTTAAATTTACACACATTAAAAAATAGTTAAATTTATTTAATTTTATTATTTTCAAATAAAAAATAAACCTTACTTCTTAAACTACTTTTAATAATATTTTTTAAAACAATAATTACATTTAATTTAATTATAATTTATCAAATAATAAAATTATATAGAATGAAGTAAATTAAAATTTGTTATATTTAAAGTTAAAAAAATTATATTTATTTT